TCTGGGTAACAGAACCCTCCTAAAGATGCAGTTAGGAGATGGGTAACGCATCTGCTTTTATAGTCGCATAATACAAATATCTATTCTCATAAACTCTGTCCAGTAGCTCTGGGAAATTAAGTCATGCACACAGGAAACTGTTTCGTTGATGTCTTCAGCAATAGGTAACTCATAGGATATTTTTATAGGACGGGATTGGGCCTGTGGGTCTGAAAGATTTATAAATATCTTCTTCACTTTAGGCTCTGTAGAAGTTCTGAGAGGAGAGAGAGCGTCTGAAAACTCCTGCCACTCATATGGCGCCCTGCCTAGCAACCAAGTGACTTAAGATTCCTCCTGCTGAGTGCAATGGAAGCATCATTGGCTAGTTAATATTGTTGGCTTTTTAACTCTCCGCTTTCATCTTGTCAGGATTGGTAGACTGGGATGATGGGAGTAGCTCGATTTGTCCTTCCTAATCATTCGATGATGAGATACTCAAGACCCTTGAAAACAGCTTGAGTTTGAAATTCCTTCTGCCCAGGTTTGCTAGTCAACTGAGGATATGTATGTGCTTCTTAAAATGACATTAGAGTTGACCTCTTTCAAAAACATATGTATCTGTGTACACTACTGGGCTTTTCTGTGTTGTATACAATGGCTCCGACAACTTATATATATAACACAATATATAACAACAACAAAAGGCCCTTCTATGCTGCCAGCTGACAAATGACTTCATATCCCTAAACCATAGGGGCTCGGTTGTAGAACTTGCTAGAGTTTATGTTTGCGTAACACCGTCTCCTCCTTCTTGTTATTCAAATGATAACCATAGGCAGATTTACGCGTATTGTCTGTTCCGAAGAATGAAACCACACATTTTCATGTAGGCACGCTCCATTTTTAATTGTGTAATTAAGTTGCTGACATAAGCAAGTGTGCAATTTCACATTAAGGTAAGGATCTGTAAAGGCATGCATTTGCATAATTTAATTTTCTGCACAGAAGATATTGAAAATCAATAGCATGATTCATAGCCATACCATAGCATACCATGCTGCGGCCGCTGGGCTGTTGGAGCTGAGGAGAGGACAGAGTATTAGAATTGATTGAATTTGGTGTTGCTGACTCTAGCTTTCCTTGGGAGCCACAGACTATTACCGTGTGCAAGCCTCTCTTCCTTTAATCAAATATGAAGTTGCTTTATATACAGTATATATATATATCGACTGCTATTCATATGGTTTTAAAAATACATTTAAAACCACCTCGTCTTTGATTGGAAGATATTCACGGTGAGGGCTTTAGATCGTCTTCCTTAGTTTATACAGGTGACATCCATACACAGTTCTGTCCTGATCTGGAGGTGGGATAAGGAACCACACATAACTGCCGCAGTGGAAGGGAATAGTAAATAGAGTTACTTTTAATGAGCAGGTCGTCTGTTGGAAAGAATGTGGCACCCAGTGATGGAGTCTTTGCTTCCCTGGTCATTTTCAAATCTCCTCCCCAAAGACCATCCTGTGGGATTCTCAGGCCCTTCCCATCCTGCTTTGCGTGTTCATTGTTTGCTCTTTCTGGTAGGTGAGCAGTGGTCCTAAAAGTGGGTCAGTGGAGGCAGAAGGTGACTTTTGGCTCTGTGCGCGCGCACACACACACACAATCTAGGACCTTTAAAAAGTTGATATTTGGGTACTTCTCCAAAACATTTTAATTTGAATTTCAAAGCCCAGAGTCCAGGACAGTTTGTCATTGATTTGTGCTTTCTATTTTAAAAACTTTATCCCCGGGTTGATAATCCATTATAACGATGGTGACCTTGTAGCTTGTAAAGTGATGGGCAGAAGCCAAAGTGCATATTTAGAGGCATTGTCATCGCAGGACTAGTTGCACAGGTGACAGAAGACAGAGTTTGACATTCTAATCTGTCCACTGTAACTCTCCCAACTCTCTAGCTTCCCGTTGGTGCTGGCCAGGGCTTACTGAATGCTGTCAAAAGAATTGGTCTGTATAGTCTGCCTCCTGGCGTAGCTCCAAATTTTGTTATTATTGCAACTCGTGCTGATCCCATACTTGGTCCTCAGCCCACCCTACCCATTGTTTTGGGGACCATGTCCCAAATCTTAATGGACTCAATATGCCTAGCACTTCCATAAGTAAGGAAGACAGGCTGATACCCTTGTGCCTGATTCCATCGCTGGGGTTTTCAGGATGCTGGTGTATGGGGACTCAGTGGCTTAAGTCAGAAGAGGGCAAGCCATGTGCCGGGAGGAGAAAGGTGCCTGGATAGCTGTGGGTAAATGGAATGGGCTATGATTGCCATCGAAACGATGGCTATGGAGCAAATTCTTCTTGAGATGGTGCTGAGGGAAAACATCTCTCAAACAGTTCAATTTAAATTTAGTCGAGTTTACTGGAGCAGAAGAAAATGAAAAATGGTCTGTGAACCTAATAAACACCCAGAACAAGTTCTGAGAAACCATCCCCTAGCCAGCTCAGACATCAGTTATAGAGAAAGGAGGTGTGTGTGTGTGTGGGGGGGGGGAGGGATGTAGACTTGAATTGAACGTGGGCCTGAGGATGTAGCTAAGGGGGTAGAGCTCTTGTCCAGCACGCACAGTTTAGTCTCCATTACTCAGTGAGTTGGGTACGTTGAAGTACACGCTTGAAATCCTTAAACTGGGGGCACGGCATCAAGAGCACCAATAGTTCAAGGCCATCTCGAGCTACATGCGACCTTGTTTTACAACAAGCACAAACCAAACATCAGCTTAGTGGGTTACAGCTGCGGCAGTCCACCAACCTGTTGGTCATACCTTCACACATTCTAGACAGTTAACTTCCTGCAGGTTCTTCTGCGTTCATCAAGAGGTCAATTGGGAAGAGTAAATTCCCGTATCGTTTGTTCTGTTGGGCTTGGGGCTGAGCTGGGTGCTCTGCTCCAGTAAGTCCTGTTGTCTTCTGAACTCTCTTCTAGGGCCCTTATTTCACAAGCTAGTAAACTTAGGTCATACTAAAAACCCCCATAGACTTGGCTTTTATCGGTCACATTGTCAAGATGCTGCTGTACCCCTTGTCCTGATACAAAGAGAAAGGCTTTGGGGTACTAGGTGAAGCACAGTAAGCAGGCAACACATTAAAATTCTTGACACATGCCCCCCAAAATATGAACTGTCCAGAGTGAGGGAGTCATGAGAGAGCCGGAGAGCAGGTGCTATGGTTTCCATCGTAGGCGAGAACTTGCGACTCACGCATGCTCTGTGCTGCTCACCTGCAGAGCCAATGGCTGACATGGTGAGTGGCCACATTTTCATTGCACGTGACAGTGAGCAGTAGCTTACACTTTTTTACCTTGCCGTTTTGAACGAGGGAACAAATAGAAGTGATAGCAGGTTTCCTCTCGAGAAGAACGTTTGGAGTCTCCTTCATTCCAGCTCTCGTCTAAAGGCTCATCTCAGGAGCATCTGTGGTCCAGCCCTGGCTGCGGGTCTCAAACTAGTTTTCACAGTTGCGGTGTTCGTTATTGGCTGCCGCCTTCTCATCAAAGCTAACACCCTTGTGCCCCCCCCCCCCCCCCCGTTGCCTGCCAATCGGAGTAGAAAATGTACCGTCGTTTTGTGTTTCCATCCACATCCCAGAGCCAATGGACGTGTCTCCTGACCATTTTCCTTGCTTCTCGAAAGCAGACTTGATTTTGTTTGGGTGCATTTGAGTATTAATATAGGCGGGTGGCGTGTATTGTTTGGGAATCGGGGCACCTGTGATGTTTATCCTTGCACACATCTGTGCATTTAGGCGTAGGCTCATCACTGGAGGCAATTTGCATTCCATGGAGAGGATGCAGGTGGGGAGGGGGGTGGGGGAGGGCTTTGTAGGCTCCAGTGCACACATGGGAACTTTCCGTGGTGGTAGAGAATCCTTTCGATATTCTGGGGTGGATTGGATTCCTTTGAGGTTTCAACAGTGTGTCACTGTTACGCTGTAGTATGAGTATTGACAGTGGAAGGTTCTGTGCTCTGCTGTCCTCTGTACTGCAGGAGAACATTTGTGGGCCTAAGGGTGTGGACCTGGAGGAGTCTCCAGTGCATGTCTGTGCTTTGTGGGGCAGAGGCCCTGGTCTCAATGCTTCTCTTTGGCTCTCAGATCTGCTATGTGCTTTGTGCAGTGCTGAAGCCTAGTGAGTGTCTCTGCACCTGGAACCTCTCCCCACCCCCCACGTCTGTGTAACAAACGCAGTGAAGAGCACTTGTGCCCTGGAGGCTTTTATACCCAAAACACACATTTATTCAGATAGTTAGAAACCAAAGCACACATTCCGGGTCAAATTTCACTGGACCTTAGGCAAATGCAAGTCATCTTGCTTGAAGCTTGTTTCTACCACCGAGACCCTTGTTCCACATTTGTCACACTGGGTAAATAATGTGCCTAGTGAAGGTTCGGCTGGGGCTTATCCCTGCAATCGCACCTGAGAGGATGGAGTAAATAGAAGGTTGGATGGGAGTTTGAGGCTAGCCTGATCTATAAGCTTGCTTGCAGGTCAGCCTGGGCTACAGAGTGACACTGTCTCAAAACGAACAGCCAATCAACTGAAAACTAAATTCAAACACAAAAATCACATAGATGTGATTATTATATTAATAATTATTATATGTGATAATATTGATTATATTAAGCATTAATATGAGCAGTAAATGTGTTAATGTCTTGCTTTGGACTTTTCTCTAGTTTTTTTTTTTTTTTTTTTTTTTTTTTTTTTTTTTTTTTTTTTTTTTTTTTTTGAGTCAGACTTTTACTTTGTAGCCCTGCCAGCCTAGGACAGGAGGCAATCTTCCTGCCCCGGCCAACAGTTGGGAGGACAGGCACAGGCGCTGTGCAACAAGACAAAACTGAGGTTCTGTTCAGACATCCTCTAAGGCTTGTGCTTCTGTGACTAGCTCTGCTGCACATGGCTGAGCACCTTCCCTGTGTCCCGCGTCCACCTCAGCACAATGACTGACTGTGTTCTCCCTCTCTTCCAGCATTGACTGAAGGCTATGTGGGGGCTTTGCAGGAGAGCAGACAGGGCAGCTCCGTGCAGATCCGCAGGCGGAAGGCGTCCGGAGACCCCTACTGGGCATACTCGGGTGAGTCCACCTAAGTTGGTCAGTGTCCTGGAAGACAGGAGCATCAGGATTTCGCCTGATCCCTGTTTGGTCAAGCAGGTTTGGCTTTGTTAAAACTTGAAACGTTGAAGTCCGCTCTTTTCATGTTTTCTCGTCGCGCCCCGTCCTCAAAGTGTTTGTCCCTGAAATTCCCTTGTTAAGGAGTCACTGTACCAGACATGTAACTCTTGGAGAGACAGAGTGTTGCCTTGAGGGTGCTGGGGTGACCCTTAATGGCCACAAAACATGATACAGCATTCAATAGCTCGTGGAGTTTCTCCTAAGCCATCATCCACGAAACCCAGCCTTATTCCCAAGTCTTTGTGGTTGAGCGTATTGCCTCTCTCTGCTGTATACTGAGCCCAGTTTTATTTTGCACGTTTGAGACAGTAACACGGATAGCATCGCTAACAGTTTTAGTGCATATTACATCAGAGCTAATTTCCTTGGAGAGACCTTTCTGGATTGTGCTCTTTTCACTTAACTTAAATAAATAAATAAATAAATGAACTAGGTGGTTTGTTATTTTTAAAAGAGATGAGAAAACTTCCCAACTTGTTGAAAGCAGATCGTAGCAAATTAAGGAGGAATACTTGAAAAAGACAGAGCACTTTGAAATTACTGGGGTACTGAATAATTCAGGTTCCTTGTTGGAAAGAGCTTGGAGGTGCGGCGATTATTCTTCCTAATAAATGTGTGTATTATGCCGTGTTGTTGCATAGGAAACCGCTGTGAGTCTCTTCAGAACCAGGACTTCCTCCTCAACCCCCAATTTCCACCTGCAAATCTTGTTAAATTTATGTCAGTGTAAAATGTATAGCCTGATCTTTAATTACCCCTTATCTGGTGGCGGTTTGCATTCTCTTGTCTGCTGATAAATCTCCTGCCCCTGCAGGGAGAATGGCCAGATCTGTTTTGTTTGGCTTGTCACGGACAGTGATGGTGAAGTCTTCCATCACACCTCCTTCTTTGTGACTAGAATTATCTAATTAGAGCCTTTTGTCACCATTTTCTGATAAATGAAGGAAATTGGGAGATGGAGGCCAAAATTACATACATACAGCTTCTTGCCAAGACATGCGAAGAAAATTTATCATTGTGTGCTCTGTGGCTGTGGTATCCGTCATGAAGAGGCGTAAAGTGGCCCGTTATTTACAGTTCATCAATTTAGAATAATAATGCACTTAGGCAGGAAATTGGAAGTTACAGGGCATCTGTGCAAATGGCGGTGAAGAAGCAGAACTTCTCCCATTACTCAGGAGAGGGGCCGTGCGTGCGTGGCGCATCTGGGGAATAGAGCCATTATTGATGGACGTCCTTGCCTGTGGTGGGCCCTGTCGCGTCTTTAGGTGTTACAGAGTGTGTGTGTCTCTGGGTTAGAGTTCTGCCTCCAGCCGAAGGCTGAGAGTTCAGGTTGAGGGACTGCTTTATTTACACCTATCTGGGGAGATCTAGATCATAAACATTCTAGACTTTTTTAGGACACAGGGTCTTGGCTACAGCACTCAGCCCTGCCAGCATGTCACCAGAGCCTTAGGTGACAATGGAGAGCCTGGGTATGGTGTGACGAAATTGTTCATGAGTACTGGAACTTGAACCTTACGTAATTTTTATGTTGCAAGGAAATACTCTCTTTGGAATTTGTTTTATTTGTTTTTGTTTAAACTGAGCATTTGCAGGTCTTCAGAAGCATTTGTCCTCACAGGTAGCCAGCTGGGTAATGTTCACAGGCTTTAGTTTGTCAATTCTTGTTTTAATAAATCACACACACACACACACACACACACACACACACACACACACACACAACCGAGATCATCCAGGGCGGACCATGAAGAAAGAACCTTGGGATGGATATGACCAGCTTGGAAGAGTCTCTCAAGCAGCTTGCCAGGGGTAATGAAAATCAGTTGGGAGGAAGAGGAGGAGGAGGAGGAAGAAGAAAATGGGACTCATGTACGACCTGAGAAACTCACCCGGAATTGTTGGGGCCAGCAGACTTTGAGATGTAAGATGTTTGCTTATTAAAATGTCTCAGGGACAGAGCCCAAGTCTGAACAGGGTATTATTGTGTATCACGTGTACCTAACACCCAAAGGTAATTTTATGCAATGACTCTACAATGACTCTAATAGCATTTAGGGTTTGAACTGCCACCCACCAACCAAGGTTGGTTGTGGGATCTTCCACGAGTTCTCCATGTCAGCACTCCAGCAGTTCAGAACTTCTGAGACCGGGTGCTCGTCCTGTGTATATTCTTCATACATTGAAACCATTTCCCGAAGGATATCAGAGTGGTTCTTTCGTCAAGTGAGCTCTGTATTGGTTCTCTTGTCAACTAGATTTGGGGTTCATCAGAGAGGCTGCTCCGTAACTGCTGATGGATACAGGAAGAACAGGAATCGGTGAGACTTGGCATCTGCAGACTTTCCACACTTCAGGCTGGTGTGGACTGTGCTAGTCCCCTCCAGGATATACCTTTGAGGGATCAATGAAGCTTGAAATGTGAACTTGAGAAAAGAAAGGCTCCATGTTATGAGGCATTTTTTTTTTTAATTTAACAAAGGTAAATTAGGCCGTGTCTGAAATATCAGTCTAACGGACCAGATCTGAACATCATGGCTCTAATTTTGCAATCATTTATTTTCTCACAGGATGTTACCATTTGTTGGCGTAGTGCTTAGACTATGAATTTTGTCCTGCCTTATAGACCTGTGTCAGATACTGTAACAGTGCGTCTGATTTTGGAGAGACTTCATTGCTCAGAGCCTTGACTTTCCTTCTGGGAAACAGGAATAACCAGCAGCATTTCCCTGCTAGTAGGGTGTTCCGCGTGTGACGTGAGCTGGGGCACAGCTTAAGTTTAGCGTGGTCTGTGTCCTCAAGTACCTGACTTTCCTCGCTGCTCTTGACTCTGCTTCTGCATTACTTGTTGGTGTTTCTGAAATTCTCATTGAGCAGCCAGGCTTTCCAGGAATCGCTAGATAGAACCGAGGGCAAAGGAGCTGAGACAGGCATGGGCAAATTTACGTTTCGCCTTTGTGAATTTCTTATGAGGTTTGTAGAGAGGATCATTGAGTTCAGAGGTGGAGAAGCTGCAGGCTTTAGCCTGAGTTTGTGCTTCAGGCTTTACTGTAAGACGACCACACTCATTACATTGTGTATTGTCTGTGGAGGTTCACTACAGCTTCTCAGCTAAGAATTAGTGTGTGTGTGTCTGTGTGTGTATTTATAGTTAATAATATGTATAGAGAGAACTATTGTGTGTGAGGTTGACATGCGTATATGCACATACTCACATGTTTGTGTGGTGGAGCCTGATCTGAGTCTAATCTGGAGCTACCCATGTGTGAAGAAGACGTCTTAGATTTCCTTGTGTTCCTCTTTGTTCGCACAGACTTCAGCGAGTCTTTAGGGTGGCGCTTGCATTTTCCTTCCTAAGAAAAGGGTGTGGAAGAGACAAGATGAGGGAGGCAGGATCGGTCAAGGAAACACGTGTGGGGTTCCATTGTTTGCTGTTTGGTGGGGTGCAGTTTAGTTCCCATGCTGTCCGAGGTAGCCACTTCATAGTCACTGCACAAGGAGTTCAAGTTTTGAGCTGGGGCTAGCTTGTTCTTAGGCAGCGTCACTACTGTACTTCATTCGTAGAACGGAGACCTTTCAGCTTTCACTTGAGAGTGGGCATAGTTACTTGATTTCTACTGATTCCTTTGCCGTACTACAGATCCCTGTTTATAGTTGATGTGTAAGTTGTCCTTTGACGGACTTATCAGACACCTAGAATGTCAGCATACAGGACTGTTGGTGGAGGAGTCTGCCTGATCTCTGATTGTAGTCTTCCAGAGATGGGGTTCCCCCTCTGGCTATTATTTGAGATGATGTATGTAGCAAAGGGGCACAATATCTATATCCAGTTGGAAACTTCATCCATCAAAAGCAAGGGACAGATGTTAGATGGTAGGGTTTCCTGTGAGGAGGCATGGTGCCATTTCAAGAGGCTTTTGGTCTTTGTATTTCTTTTTCCTTACAGGTAAGGAAGAGTTTCATGAAGAATTACGTATACCAGAAGGAAAACGCAGTTCTCTCAAGTATCTTACTGGAGATATTAACACGATTTGTCTTCTGTAGTTTTATAACCTGCTAAGACATAGAATTTTTTTTCCTGTAACTTTAAGTGATGGTAGTTCATGAATTTTGGAGCTGGCCCAGAACTTCTGTAGTTTTTACATGAAAAATACCATATGTTGGGTCGGTCACAGTTGCTGGGAAGAGAAATACGAGACAAACCTGAATCGAGTCCAGGAGGAACTCTGAAGCGCCTTTATCAACCTGTGTGTCTGTGTTCTTCCTTTCAAACACTGGGAGGAAAGCATGCGGTGTGCTCTCCAACCCTGGACTTTCTCCATCCCCAATAGTTTCTTTGGTGTATAAAGAAATTGTAGGAATCTCTTTCAGGGTGGGAGTGGTGCCCATCTTCAGAAAAATCCAAAGTCAAAACATGTAGTTGCCAAAATTCTCTGTGGGAAGCAGTGTCCTTGGACAAGTTGAAGGTCAGAAAGGGTTATTCTAACAAAAATCGCTTCTGCTTTTTTGGTCAGAGGATAGCTAAGACCTTTTTAAATTACCTGTAAGATGGAGATGAAGGACTGACCTTGCAGATGGTGTCGATGTGAGGCTCAGATTTTAGGCATCTCAGCATCCACATGAATTTGGGGTTTTTAGGTTGGACCTGAAGACCCATTCTTGTGGTTCTTCATTACACCCTTCTCTTTGAACACATTTCTCTCTGTATGTAGATATGTGGCCCATTTTCCCAGCTAAGTACACAGGTTTTGAGGATAGATCCAGTGCCCCTTTATGAGACGGGGTCTCACCACGTAGCCCAAGCCAGCTTTGAATTGGCACTGCTTCAGCTTCCTGGGTCCTGGGATTATAGGCGTGTGTCTCTAGGTCAGGCTTTAGTGTCCAGGTTTTATCTGGAT